GATGGAATAGGGAAGGAGCAAACTGGCAGTTTCAACAGGATCAGAAAATTTTCTTTAAATTAGATGGTCGGTTCACATACTACAAGGGACTTTTTCTGCTGAGGTGGGCTATTCTCAGACTGGTAACTAAGAAAGCACTTGTTCTTGACCAGTGTAATGTTGATGCCTACATTATGGCTACAGTTCATACATTCACCAAAGGAACTTCTGGTTTAGACATGGAGGGGGCAGAAAATCAAAGTGCAATAATTTTCTGAGCCACCATCAGCTGACTCTTCATCAACAGAAGTCTGACTGGTTTCTCTTCTGACTTTCAACTTCTTTCCCAGCACCAGGTTTGTTTCTTTACAGGGTGGGGAAAAGTAGATTCATAGTTTTGAGTACACAAAAGTTTATTCTTGAGTTATTATTAATTACTAGTAGCCCGGTGCACAAAAATTTGTGCACTCGGGGGGGGGGGGGGAACCAGACCCCTCAGCCTGACCTGCACCCTCTGTCATGTTCCGGGACCCCGGCCGCTCCTGGCCTAGGCACAGGCCTACAGGCTTGGGGCGGCCTGGCTCCTGAGGCCCCATTTTATCAAGAGAACAAAGTCGGCATTAGTTACAGCCCTCACCGAACCCAGTACACTGCATCTGAGCATACAACTGCCTCATTCATGTGCCTGCTTCACCCTACTGAATTACTAACATCTTGAGGACATAGTTCTGTCTTATCCTGCTTCAACGTCATGCCTGGCCTAGTGTCAGGGACCTGAGAGGGTTTGCTGAGTGAGTGAGTGAATAATGAGTGAGTGAATGAGTGAATGAATGAGTGAGTAAGTGAATGAGCAAGCAGCTATGGGGCCGGAACTTCTGCCTGACACCCACCCTGGGAAGTGCCCGCCCTGCTCCCAGGGGCCCGGCACCCCTCTCCCAGCTGCATAGTTCGCGCCCTGCTCCCGGCTGCCTGACGCAAACCCCAGGAAGTTCCCCCCTGCTCCCAGTGGCCCGGCGCCCCTCTCCCAGCTGCATAGTTTGCGCCAGGCAAAGGCGGCCCC